AGCTATGTGGAGGAAGATCCAATCACGGTTGAGCCAGGGAGAGCTCTTCACTGTGAATGAGTCCTTCCCTGGAGAAAGGAGTCCCCTCTTTTCAACCCAAGAAGGGGCTTCTGCATTTATGTGTTTAGAACTCTGCCTGCCTCTAGCCACGTTGTCTCATTTTTCCAGCAACTGTGTTTGTTGGGGAAACATAACTTCAAAAAAAATTAATATTGTGTGGATGCCACGTGTGGAGGTCAGAGGACAGTTTTCAGGAGTTGGTTCCCTCCTACCTTATGGGTCCTGGGGATCTTAAGCTGTCGGTCATGATGTTGGTGCCTTTTCTTGCTGAATCAGCAAACACAAGTTTAACACAACACAACCGGTTGCACAGCAGTGCGTGGCGAGTGGGTTTCAATCCAGAGTGATTGCTCTTCCCTGGGTCCACAGTCTGTCCAGCTACCGCACAGGGTCCCGAAGGTGGCTGGCCAGCTAGTGCCACCTGGTCCCCTCCCCCAGAGAACCCAGGAGGGCCAGCCCCCTGCCTGGCTCTTGGCACACTCACCCAGGGTCCCCGCGCATAGCAGGACACAGACACCCAGCCTCATCCTCCGCTGTGTCTTGGTAGCACTCCCCCGAGCCTAGGTGCACTTTCCCCAGCAGGCAGAAGGTTGACTGACGAATCTGCCTTCTGGGAAAGGTTCTTCAGCCCCAGTTCGGGCTGATCGCCACCGCCACACCCTCCATCCCTTCCTTATCTGGCCAACAGAAACCCAGGCTGCTGGGGATCGCTAGCCTCGGCCCCTGGGTGAAAAAAGTGCTTCTCAGGAAAAAGTTGGTGTGCACACGTGTGCGAACTTAACACAATTTTCTTTCGGAAATTCTCACTTTTTTCTAAGAACTCTAGGTTGATCAAGCAGAGGTTCTCCCGCTGTCTTGCCACGCTAGTGGCGCTGTCCTTTCTGTGACCCCCCTCTCCCCAACAATCCCCCTCCCTCAGCATACACACCAGTAGCGCTGTCCCAGCTTGGTGAGGCCTGGGTCAGGCACAACACTGACCCTCACAGAGTGTCTCGCCCTCGCAGCTGCAGCCCTGTCCAAAGGGCTGTGACTTCTGCCTAGGAAAAATCCGATAATTTACATAACACTTTAAGAACTTCGAATTAGCTAGGCAGTGGTGGCGCATGTCTTTAAACCCAGCACTCCGGAGGTAGAGGCAGGCGGATCTCTGGAAATTCGAGGTCAGCCTGGGCTACAAAGCGAGGTCCAGGACAGCCAGAACTGTTGTTACACAGAAAAACCCTGTCTCAAAACGAGAGAGAGAGAGAGAGAGAGAGAGAGAGAGAGAGAGAGAGAGAGAGAGAGAACGAGAACTTCAAATTTAAATATAGTAGGTGTACAACAATCCTAGAAGCACAGCATAATTAGTTATTACTGAGAAGACTCCAGTAGAGCCAGCCCCCACATTAGGAGGCTGAATCCCTGCAGAGCATCTCCCATATAGGTGGCCCCTACCTGGACTTCTAACAAACACTGCTGTGGGATGGTCTGTATGTCAAATGTGTTGCTGATTGGTCAATAAATAAATCACTGATTGGCCAGTGGCCAGGCAGGAAGTATAGGCGGGACAAGGAGGAGAATAAAGCTGAGAAGTGGAAGGCTGAGGCAGAGAGACACTGCCAGCCGCCATGATGACAAGCCACATGTGAAGATGCCGGTAAGCCACAAGCCATGTGGCAAGGTATAGATTAATGGAAATGGATTAATTTAAGCTATAAGAACAGTTAGCAAGAAGCCTGCCACGGCCATACAGTTTGTAACCAATATAAGTCTCTGTGTTTACTTGGTTGGGTCTGAGCGGCTGTGGGACTTGGCAGGTGAGAGAGATTTGTCCTGACTGTGGGTCAGGCAGGAAAACTCTAGCTACAAAACACTAAAGTCTGCTTGTTTCTGAACTCCATAGAGGTGAAATCATACGAAGCAAAGCCTGGTACGATTCATCTATGCAGAGGTGTGTGGCTGTCCACAGTTCTCAGGCCCCCGCACCGCCCCCCCCCCCCCACCCGCTCTCGTAGTGTTCCAGGCATAGTGTTCCATATTGTGTGATTGGAGAACACTTCATCTCTCATCCTGATGGCTGTAGTACCCAGTTTCAATTCTTACAGATAGTGCCGCTAGAGATAAAATTTTAATTTCATTTTATATGTGTTGCTAGGATCTGAAAACAAAACAAAAAACCAGAGCCTGCTGTAAAAGTGCATGCCTGTAATCTCAGCATTTGTGAGGTGGAGGCAGCTGGATTAGGAGTTCAAAGTTTCAGCTACATATCCTAGTGGAGGCCAGCCTAGGCTAGAGACCTTGTCTCAAAAACCAAGCAGATAGAGCTGGAGCGATGACCCGGCAGTTAAGAGCACGTGGTTAAGGACTCTGCTTTTCCAGAGGAGGAGAGTTCAGTTTCTGCAACCACGTTAGATGTCTCACAATCACCTGTAACTCCAGCAACAAGGGGAACCCACACCTCTGGACTCCAGCTACAGCAGATCAGGTCTCAGTGGGTGCTCGCATTCATGTGCATATACATATAATTAAAAGTAAAATAAGCCAGTCAGTGGTGGTGCATGCCTTTAATCCCAGCACTCGGGAGGCAGAGGCAGGTGGATCTCTATGAGTTCAAGTCCAGCCTGGTCTACAGAGCAAGATCCAGGACAGGCTCCAAAGCTACACAGAGAAACTCTGTCTCCAAAAAAAAGGAAAATAAATCTTCAAAAATAAATAAAAGACACAATCAGAAAACCCCACAGTTTTTACACATTGTGTTTGAACCTGGTGGTTTTGCTATATTATTTTGTTAAATCTGTTTCTTCTCAGTACTTTATTTACATTCTTATGTTTTTAATTAAATAATGACAGTTTTTTTCTTTTCTGATTGTTGTCATTTCCCACCTCCCACCCCCACCCCCCCACCTCCCGGCCCAGACTCTGTTAACTGCCATCATTAGGAGGTCTGCAATCGTCTGGTACAAGCCTTCTAGTGCAAATAGGCAAGCATTTCTTCAGAGCACTTTGCCAGAACAATTATTGGGTCTGAAAGTAGATGAAGTCCTAATTTAACAGATCCTGAAAACTCTTAGTGCCACGCCAATAAGCACTAAAAATAGTTATTACAGAAAAATGTCTATTGTTGTTTTTAGATGTTATTAGCAATGCTGAGGCGCTTCCCTCTGTCATGGGTTGCCTACATACTTAAAAACATGACTGCGATTGGATTTTCTCTTCTTACTGAAATAGTGATATGCTTTCCCTGCCTTTTCTGTTTGTTCTTTGTTTTTTGGGACAGGCAGGGTCCTGCTATAAACTAGTCTGCCTTCAAACTTGTGATCCTCCTGCCTCAGTGTCCTGAGGGCTGGAAATAGAGGGATGTTTAGCCACATCTGACTTCTAATGGGTTTTGTTTGTCTGGTAAAGGAGATTGAATCCAGAATCTCATATTTGTTAGGTAAGCATTCCACCACTGAACTACATCTCTAACCTGCTAATTGAATTTTGGACTTACTATATTTTATGTGTTGTGAGTGCTTTGCTTACATGTGTGCCCAATGCCTGTGAAAGTCAGACCAGGGTGTCAGGCCCCCTGGAACTGGAGTTACAACTGGTTGTGAGCCACTGTGTGGGTACTAGGAACAGAACTCGGGCCCTCTGTAAGAGCAACAAGTGCTCTCCATCACTGAGTAGTCTCTGCAATCTCCTGTTAACTGATTTTTAAGCATAAAGCTACTATTATATTTCTGCAATAAACCTCATTTGGTCATTATGTGTAATATTACCCACATATTGTTGAGTTGGTAACATTTTCGTTAGAGTTTCTTTCCATATGTTTTTTTAAAACAACCATTCTGGGGGTGTGGAGAGATGTCTCAGCATCTCCTAGAAAACCAGAGATTGGTTCCCAGCAACCATATGAGGTCACTCACAACTGCCAGCTCCAGGGGATCTGATACCCTCCACAGACACGTGCACTCATGTACACATACCCACACACAGACATACACATAGTCAAAACTAAAACTAAAAACATTTTTAAGAGAAAAAAAGAATCTTGCAGTTTCTCTTTATTCTAATAGCCTTATATTTTTTACTTTAACATTGCGATGACTTTTGAACTGAAAAATGTTACCTCTTATTCTCTGGAAAAGATTATGTAAGAGTAGTATTCCTTTTTTCTTAAATGTGCATAAGACATCAGGAATGATGTCCCCTGCATTTAGAGCCTTATTTGTGAAACGGTTTTCAATAACACACTAAGTTCTGTCTCCTCCCCCACTCTCTGGTACTAGGGATTGAACATAGGGCTTCTTACATGCTAGGCAAGAGCTGTACCAAAGAATAATCTTTCAGCCCTTCACTTTTGAGACATGATCTCATTATGAAGCAAAAACTAACCTCACATCCATAAGTCTCCTGCTTCAACCTTCCCAGTAGCTTAGAGATGTGCATCACCACACCCAGATTGATTTTATAGCTATACAAATATTCATGTTGTCTAATATTTTAAATCTGAGTATAGATAAGTATTGTCTTTTATTTATCTTTGTGTGTTTGAGTGTTTTGGCTGTCTGTGTGTCTATGCACCACATACGAGCCTGTGGAGGTCATTGAATCCCCTGGAACTAGAGTTACTAATGGATGTTAGCCACTTTGTGAGTGCTAGGAATCAAATCCGAGTCCTCTGGAATGGTGACCAGTGTTCTCTAACTGCTAAGCCTTCACTTCAGCCACATATGGTCTTTGAAGAAATTCATCTAGGGGCTGAGGAGATGACTCCGTCAGTTAAGCACTTCCTGTGCAAGTGTGAGGACTTGAGCTCAGATTCCTGGCATCCGACATAGACACCCAGGCAGAGGGGCTGGAGAGGTGGCTTCGAGGGTAAGGACACTGGCTGCTCTTCCAGAGGACTCAAGTTCCACCCTCAGGGAAAGTTTGAAACCGAGATTTAAAAACACAGAATTCTCTTTAGCTGGGCATGGTGGTGAACGCCTTTAATTCCAGCACTTGGGAGATACATCTCTGAGTTCAAGGTCAGCCTGGTCTACAGAGTTCCAAAAAAGCCAGAGCTATATAGAGAAACACTGTCTTCAAAACAAAACAAACAAAAATCCAGGCATAGGGGAGACTGTGATTCCAGAGCTGGGGAGGCAGAGATCTCTGGCTCCAGCCAATCCCTGGCTCAGTGAGAGACACTGTCTCAAAAAAAAATTAGGTGAAGAGCTACTGAGAAAGACAGCCAGTGTCAATCTCTGGCCTCCACAAGCACACGCACCTCACTCATGTACACACACACACACACACACACACACACACACACACTTTACACATATGCACACATACAAACATACATCACACATACACACACAAGTATTCACCTACATTTCGAAGTTACTGAAGCAAAGTCACTCACTATATTCTCTTGAACTGTCATTTGGTTTTGGGAGCTGGGGATTGGATCCAGGCACCCGATCTGTCACTGAGTTGTATCTTTAACTACCACCCCCCTTTCAAATCACTTTTTGTTTCAACCCAGGGTCACACGAAGTCACCCCGGCTGGCCTGGAATGTATGATCCTCCTGCCTCAGCCTGCTGAGAGCTTTAGCTCACAGGCTTGTGGCACAAAACCTGGTAAATGACATTTTGAATGAAAGAAAATCCCTTACTATACTATATTTTCCCATTATTGACAGTGGTAACTTCTGTTTATTCCTTTTCTTTGATTGATTAGTGTTGCCAAGGTTCTATTTTATTAATTAAAAAACACACATGAACTGGGTTTGGGGAGATGCTCAGTGGATAAGAGCACTTACTATTCTTGCAGAGGACCCAGGTTTGGTTCCCAGCACTCGTATCAAACAGCTTACAAGTGTACCCGGAAGTTTTCCTGTCCCACCTGGTCCCAAGTAAACACACAGAGGCTTATATTAATTATAAACTGTTTGGTCTATGGCTCAGGCTTTTTGTTAGCTAGCTCTTTCATCTTAAATTAACCCATTTCTATTAATCTATGTTTTGCCACGTGGCTGTGGCATTACCGGTCTGCTGACATGTTGCTCCATGGGTGGTGGGCTGGTATCTCACATCAACATAATTCTAAGTTATTAAAACATTTAAATGCCATATTCTGTAGGTCTATGAAGTGTTTGAAGATTATCCATCCAACATATATTTCTGTATATCTAGAAAACATAACTAACATGACTATAAATATGACAAGCATGGGTGACTATTAACCTGTAATTCTTATCAATCTAAATAACTTAAAGACTAAGGCTTCACATTATAAAAATAAACAATCTGTAAACAGATGTATAGTATAGGGATAATGACCTCGAAGTTGTGACAATATACAAAAATATCTTAATCAGAGGTAGAAATGTATAGTGCAATATGACAACAATATCCTTGATATGTATCAATATACAAAATATCCTAAACAGATGTAGAACATATATACAGTATGACAAATGTAATTTTACATTTGTATCAATATACAAAATATTTCAAACAGGAGTAGGAACATATGTACAATATGACATACAGTTTTGTATTTGTATCAATATAAATTATCTTAAACAGCAATAGAAAAATAATTTCACATTTGTATCAATATACAAGAGTCCATACCAATGCAAATTATCTAAAGCTGATAGTTACTGATTAGTTTACAAGTAGATACAATAATCTACCTTATTCCCCTGTTTTCTTATTCAAAAGAGTATCCTGAGTCTAAACTTTATAGTTTCACCCCCAACCCTAATACAATTTATAACCAACCCCTAACAGATAACAATTATTCATAAGTCTGAGAAAACAAAACCTTTTGGGGGAGGGGGTGTCGTTTTCTTAAAATTGCTTTCTGCTATCTAAGGGGAGACAGTATCTCTGTGGGATCCTGTAAGAAAAGTAAAACAACAGTTAAGTCTCATGAGGACTAGCTGTAACATTTGTAGCCAGTCTCAGAGTAATGGGTAAAGCTTATGTGAAGTTCTGGCTAGAGGTGTAAGATGATGGATTATCTTAGCCACCTTGAAACAGTCCTGAACTGTTTGTAGTCCAGAGATGATCTATGAGTGGTGTTTGTCTGCTCAATGTCATCATTATGAACCAGGTAGAATCGTTGTGGGGCCCCATCTTCCTTCTGGAAATTTATTGTTAATTGTGGAAAACTTGAACATTATTAATATCAAAATGGAAAGTTTAAATTTTAAGATGGCATGATATGTAAAGAAAGGCCCTAAAGAATCAAGAATAAGCATGGAGAGAAATAGAATCTTGACAACAATAGTCCCTACATTATTGGCTTTATTCTGTCCCATACCAGGTGGCTATTCTGATATGAGACAGAATCTCTTAATTTTTTCTTTTAACAATATGTTTGGGTTTAAAGGAGAAAGCCACATTCCAACTCCAAAATGAACTTGATTTATAATTGAGTCAGGACTACAACTTTTCTAGAAGTAAGAGATACTGATGTTTAGGCAGTGAGATATTGCCCTGTAGAGTATATTGGTACCAATATGTCTGATTATTTTTTTGTTTGTAAGATTTTTATGGATATCCTTTCTTTCTTTTATAGACATCTAGAGGTCCAAGGCCTTTTGACTTCTTGAAGATGGGTTTTTCTATTATCCTGAAAAGACAACAAACAGAACCCTGCCCTGACCCTTGTTTGGAGAGCTTTCCTTACAACTTGTAGAATTGTCACATAGGTGGATGAGCTATCACTTCTCCTTATCAAGAGGTTTCTCCTGTTCGAATTGAATTTTTATTAATTTTGATGGTATCCATAGTTTTTCTTCTCCTGTGGAAACAAAAGCTAAACCCCTTCGCCAACATAGCACATATCCTGGTTTCCATTCTGAGGTCCCACATTTGAAGTACACAGGTTGATTTAGCTCAGTTCTTTCTTTGGTTGGTTGGCTGGTTTTTTGTTTTTTATTGTCCAATGTCTCTCTGCAGCTGTTGTTCCTTTCTCAACAGCATTAAGAAAATTCAAGGTTAATAAGGTATTATCTTCTGTCCTCCACAGGCATTTATCTGCACTCACATAGTGTAAAATTCAAATAGGCCCACACACATACATGTAAATAAAAATAAAATAAATCTTTAAAACAACACACCCCCCCCCCCCCCACACACACACACGAAAAAAATTTTTGGCTTTGTTGATTTTTCTGTATTGTATACTCATTCATGTTATTTTCTTGATTTTTGCTTTATTGACTATCTTTGGATTTTATCCTTTCTCTAATTTTCTTTTTGTTTTTTTGGGGGGGCGGGGGAGGGGGTGACAGGATCTTGCTATGCACTCAGTCTGGCTTGGAACTTTCTGTTCTCCTGATTTAATCCTGCTTTGAAGAAGTAACCTTCAATATTCTAATCCTGGATTGGATCATGGTGCCTGACTATGATGCCTGATGTGGGACTCAAACATTTGTTGAAAAGGTGAATAAATGCACATCAATGTCCCAAAAGTAGCTTGAGCAATTTCTTCCACATGCCTGTAAGCAAAAAACACATAGGTCCATGGGTGACAGTTCCTCCTAGAGTTAATGATCCACCTAAAGCTAATACACTCCGAATCCATAAGGGCCAAAGTACCTGCTGACCTGAGTAGACCATGCTCTGAGAGTGTCTCATGTCCAGGGACAAACTCATATAGCGAAGGAAGGACATCCAAAGGGCTAAAGTCTCTTCATGGGCACAGGCTGTCGTCATCAAATGCAAGGTCGGAAAAGCTGGGCATCGTGGCTTGTGTCTGCAACTGCAGTACTTGGGAGGCAAGAGAATTAAGAGTTCAAAGGCAGCCTTGACTACATAGTAAGTTGGAGGCCAGCCTGGACTATGTGAGACTCTCCAAAAAAAAAAAAAAAAAAAATGCCAAACCAAACAAAAACAAAATCTGGAAGGTTAAAAGAAGAAATAGTTTTAAAGATTTTGTGCCAAGGGTGATCTTTGGGCACGTGTTATTTGTGTGTTCCAGGCACTATGATAAATGTTTTCTTTTTTTTTTTAAGATTTATTTATTTATGTATACAGCATGTATGACTGCAGGTCAGAAGAGGGCACCAGATCTCATTATAGATAGCTGTGAGCTACCATGTGGTTGCTGGGAATTGAACTCAGGACCTCTGGAAGAGCAGTCCGAGCCATCTCTCCAGCCCGATAAATGTTTTCTTAATGTTAATTTGTGATAAACGCCTAAGTAGTATTTGACTTTTTTTTTTTGCATCCAGGAGGAAAGGGAAGCAGAGAGGTTAAGTAATGTGTCCAAGGTCCAATGAGCAGTATGTCAAAGTGAGCACCTGCTTCTACAGTTCATGTTTTTGCACATGTGGTCTTGGGCATTTGTCCCAGGAACAATTGTACACCTTAACTCTAACTCTAATCCTAAAGGGAACCTGTTTCACAAGTTCCTGAGGAATACTGACTTTTATCTAATCTCCAGAAATCCTCCTATCATCCAGCTTGAATTAAGCCAAGATTGTCATTTCTGAACAAATGCAGTCCCTGAGAACTAACAGCAACCAATTCAGAATAGGTTACATTGGCACCAGCTGCCATAAGATTTGCCAAAACCTCAGTGGTTTAATGGAGCAGTTGACTTCTTACTGTATAACTCAGTTGGCAGTCATGGTGGTGATTCATGGGGGTAGAATCCTTTCAGTCACCTGGAGATCTAGACTCAGAAGTATGACATTAAAAAAATTAATGTGTGTGTGTGTGTGTGTACAACTTGTGAGAGTTGGTTCTCTCTCTCCAATCTGTGGGTCTGGGGATTGAACTCAGATTATCGAGCATGGGCAACAAGTTGGCCTTACCTATACCTATTGAGCCGTCTAGTCCCAGCTCTTCCATTTTTAACACGCATCAGTGTGTTATCTAGAATAAATAAAAAAAAATGTGGGAGATGATGCAAAGGTTTTTATGGATCTGGAAATGATAAACATGATTACTACATGTGTTCTATTGGCAATAATTCAGTCATATGGCCTTCATTTAGACAAGTTAATCTCAACCTATGGGCTGTGACCCCTTTGGGGGTCAAACAATCCTTTCACAGGGGTTGCATATCAAATATTTACATTATGATTCATACCAATAACAAAATTAGTTATGAAGTAGTAATAAAACTAATGTTATGGTTGGGGGTCACCACAACATGAGGAACTGTATTAAAGGGTCACCACATTAGAAAGGTTAAGAACCACTGACTGAGATGTAAAGTGGATTCATATTGCTTATTACCATCAAAAGTCCCTGCTAGCTCACTTAGGAAGTGAGTTTTCAGTTCCCTTTTCTAGCCACATCTGTACTCTTTAGAAATGGAGTCCCTGGCTGACAATCTCTTTCCGGCTCAGCACAATGTCATGAAATAGAAGCTGCTGAGTAGTAATTTCCTCTGTATTGAAATAGTCCTCCTGTAAGATGCAGGATGTTCATGAAACTTAGGAGTCTCAGAAAATGTACAAGACTCACAAGGCCCCTCCACACGATAATATAAGCAGTCGGCAATTGCTAGGGAGAAAAAGGCTCCTTGTAGTTGCCTGCATGTTGGACAGTAAGCTCCAGTGGATTCATGAGTCATCACAATGGTGGGGTGGGCCTTTCAGCGATACATCATCTGTCTTTGAGTTGACTGTGTTTCTGCAAATAACCCCAAGTTTACCAGGCTAACTTGGGTGCATTCATTTCTTTTATCATCCCTTTCTCAGATAAATAGACTTTTTCTTTTTTCCTTTTTCACATTTCTCTGGGAATAGTCACGTAAAAAGAGCACAGGTCTTGGATCTTTGTTTTAGTTCAGGTCCCCCTGCAAGAAAAAGAAAAGACAATAACTTTTTTGTTTTTTTAAAGATATGGTCTCCTATAAGCCCAGGCTGCCTTTGAATTCACTATGACACTGGATTTCTGCTCCTCCTTCCTCCACCTCCAAGTGCTGGGACTGCAGGTGTGCACCACCACAGAGGTTTAAGCGATGCTTTGAGTCGAATCTGGGCTTTGTGCGTGCTAGGCTATCAACTGGGTATACCCCCAGCCTCCAAACATACTTTTAACATGAGATTTGTGTATTTGTTTTGTTTTTTGAGACAGGGTTTCTCTGCATAGCTCTGGCTGTCCTGAAATTTACTCTGTAGACCAGGCTGGCCTCAAACTCCAAGATCTGCCTGCCTCTGCCTCCCGAGTGGTGGGATTAAAGGTGTGCGCCACCATGAGATTTTTCTAGTGGTTAATTTGGTAAGTAAAGGACCATAGGTTTAAAAAAAAAAAATGGAGAAATGAGACAGGAGGAATGGCATCCAATGTGTTAATAAGTCAATTACCACTGTCAAGACTGAGGCTTAAGTCCACTGGGGAAACTCTAGGAACCAGAATAAGTAATCCCATCCAAGGGGCACACAGATAAATGTTTTATACACCTCCCTGTCAGCTATTTCCCATGGGTCATACATCCTCCAGACATCTGCTTTGTCATGCAGGCAGCACCGCAGACTCCTCATGCCAGAGAACATCTTCATGCAAAGACACACTTGCTGGCTGGTGGAAATTTCCTGACATGTATGGGAAGAGTGTGGTGGTCCAAATGAGAAATGCCTCTCACAGTCTTGGGCATTTGGGCAATTGGTCCCCAGTTGGTGGTTGTGTTAACTAGTTTTATGTCTTGTTGAGACAAATCAGAGTCCTTTGGGAAAAGGGAACCTCAGTTGAGAAAATGCCTTTACCAGATTCACTTGTGGTCCATGTTCTTGATTGATGATTGATGTAGGAGGGCCCCGCTCACTATGAGCTGGTAGTCCTGGGTGCTATAAGAAAACAGGCTGAGCCGGGCGGTGTGGTGCATGCCTTTAGTCCCAGCACTTGGGAGGCAGAGGCAAGTAGATCTTTGTGAGTTTGAGGCCAGCCTGGTCTACAGAGCAAGATCCAGGAAAGGCACAAAGCTACACAGAGAAACCCTGTCTCGAAAGAAAAAAAAAAAGGAAACAGGCTGATATACCATGTTGGGGCCAGACCTAGCCCTTCCCTCCTGCATCAAGGCTGAATAAGGCATTGCACCATAGGGAATGGGGCTACCCAAGGTTATGACTAACATAAGAAAAACTATATACAAAAGTACAATCACTATATACACTATATACAAGTCATAAATACCTAAACAATGTCTAGTCCATTTGTATTTGACAAATTCAGAGAAAATAATTCCATTATCTATCCTATTTTGTTAAGTCCAAAATGTATCTAATTCACTTTCTATCCTAATTAATCTTCAACTATAACTAACTAATCTTCAACTCCCTCAGAGATCCAAGAAGGAAAATAATATTACCTAACAAAAATAAAAACAGGAAGTGCATACAAGCAACTTCCAAAAAATTTGTGAGTTGACAGAAATAGACAGCTGCCTGGACAGTCACCTGAGGTTTCTCCACAGTGTTGGGGCATCATCTTCAACCTATAGGCTTAGCGTATCTGACAGACTCATTTGTGAAGTAGGATGTACACAAAGTCAATAGTTTGACCTCACATTGGGTGAGAGCAGTCCATGTACCAGAAACACCTGAATTCCACTAGTGTCCTGTCATGATTCAGGATTTTAAATTCTGGAAATTGTTGATGTTTTTTGAATTCAGCTGTCCATTCTTCTTGGCTGTGTATATGTGGCTTCATCTCAGCATCCCGTTCTTCTTCACATCCCTCTATTAAATGCCAGTCTACTATTGAGAGGTGTGAGATTAGTTAGTCTTCAAGCCTTACTCTCTATGAGGAGAGGATGGGGGTGGGATAGAGGTAGGTGGGAGGAGTGGGAGAAGAGGAGGGAGGGGGAACAGGGGGCTGGTATATAAAAGGAAAGAAAATCTTTTTTTTAAATAAAAAATTATATATAAAAAAATTTAAAAAAAAACTTTAAAAAGCAAGAAAACAGGCTGAGTTAAGTCACAGGGAGCAAGCCAGTAAGCAGCACCTCTCCATGGCCTCTGCATCAGCTTTTGCCTCCAGTTCCTGCCTTGAATTCTTGGCCTGACTTCCCTGAATGATGGGCTACAAGATGTATGATTAAACAAACCTTTTCTTCTCTGAGTTGCTTTTGGTCATGGTGTTTTATCACAGCAATAGAAACCCTAAAAATGGGGGTGCTGTTGGGGGAGGTTTAAGTGGTGCACTGTTGAGGGTCAGATCAACTGAGGCTTTCCCTGAGGCCATGATGTACAGAAAAGGAACGCGCTTGGCAGGCCCAGTAATGCCCTGGGGCCAGGACCATGAGGGGATCTGTGGCTTCAGTTCCTGAACCCAACTCTTCCCACTGTATGGGGCTATGGTTATCAGTCCAAGGCCACTGTGTACTCTGTAATGTTCTTGAGATACCCTGTGTTCCCCTTGTGCAACACTGTTTGATTAGCTTCCTGTTGACTTCATCCCTTGGTATGACAGTTTCTGCGGACTTCATCCCATTTCATCCCTGGAAATAGTATATAAGATTCTGTATTTTTTAATAAGCTTGCTTGGCATAAGACATAGCTTGTGTGAGACCTCTTGACCCCAGATTTTCTATCTATCTTCTTTATCTTCTCATCTAATGGCCACCTCCCACTTAGGACCCTGTCACTGAAGAATGACCTTCTGGTCCAGGTTAATGCAGTCATGCTTGGATGAAGTATGCCACTGGGGGTTGGACTTTAAGAATAAAAAGACTTGGGTTGGGGATTTAGCTCAGTGGTAGAGCGCTTGCCTAGCAAGCGTAAGGCCCTGGGTTCAATCCTCAGCTCAAAAAAAAAAAAAAAAAAAAAGAATAAAAATACTTGCCTATATGCAGTTTGCTCTGTCTTGTGTTTATAGTTCAAGACGTGTTCTCAGCTGCCAGCTGCCATGTGTTCCCACCATTATGGACTTTAACCCTCTGGAACCATAAGCGCAAATAAATTCCTTTTGTAAATTGCCTTGTTTCTGGTGTTTTCTCACAGGTAACAGAGAAGTAATACAGGGAGTAAGCATGGATCAATCATGGTGACTCATTACTGTGTCTAAGCACTTGCTAGGCTGAGATAGGAGGAACAGCGTAGGTTCAAGGCCAGCCTGGACTACATAATGAGTTCCAACCCAGCCTGGCTATGGAGTGCGGCTGTATAACATACACACCCACTTAAAAAAAAATCAAAGTGAGGAAGAAGAGGAGGAGGAGGGGGAAGAGGAGAAAGAGGAAGTGGAAGAGAAGGAGGAGGAGGAGAAGAAGAAAATGATGATGATGATAGCAGTAATGGTAAAGGTAGAACAACAGGGTCTTCTCCATGGTCTCTTCCAGAATCCAAAAATAACAAAGACTAAAGCTATGGTCTGTGGGATGGTTACAGGGATAGCCCTCACTTTTAATCAGCTCAGAAAACGGGCCCTTACTCTTCAACCATATCTTTCCTACAGACATAGGCTGTAATGGTCATTACTCAAAAACCTCTCAGGTTTCTCTTTTTAGGACCTAGATGCAATCAGCTTTTCTAACAATGCAACACTCCACATTTTTGGATTTTAAAATTCTAACTTATTTAGTTATTGCAAAGAAGCCTTTCTTTTCTGAGTGTGTCCCCTTCTTATAATACTCACTTAAGTACAGCCAGGAGCAATCCACACGTGCTGCTGGCATTCTACTCCACAGCCTTCTCCCTGGTGTTCTCATAATCAGTAGGCTGTGCTCTAGGTCCCAGCTGGCTGAAGCCATCAGTTGAAATAGATGCTAGGCCACCCAAAGTTAGCTCTAGCAATAGAGGCTGTTTGCTAAGTTCACTTGTATTTATACATATTCACTTAGAACACTGGGAATTTAAATATAAAACTCCCGTAAGTAAAACAAACAAACTCCTTTTAGCTTTCTATTTTAAAATTTTTATTGTGTATGTGCACTCAAAAGTGCATGCATGGACGGAGGTCAAAAGTCAACTTCAGGTATCTTTGCCTATCACTGTCTCTTTTGTTTTTTGAGACAAGTGTCCTGCTTGGTTTTTTTGTTTTGCTGTCAACTTAACACAAGTTAGAGATATCTGTGTAAGAGGAATCTCAACTGAGAATTGTCTGTAGACAGGTCTCAATGGCATGTTTTTGATTCATAATTGATATGGGAGGGCCTGGGGTGGTGCTACCCCAGGGCAGGTGGTCCAGGGTGGTCTAAGAAAGCAGGCTGTGTAAACGATGGGGAGTAAACCAGTAATCCTGTTGTCCTTGGCCTCTGCTTCAGTTTCTGCCCCAACTTTCCTCAGTCCTCTGTGGGCTATCAAGTGTCTTTTAGATAGGATGGCAGCTTTAGGACAAAAGTGCATTTTAACCATGAACTGTGGCTTTTTTCAGCTCTAATAACTGGAAGCGTGGTCTCATGTATCTCAGGATACTTCCTGCTTAGATAGGACACACCCAGTTTAATACGGTGCTGGAGATGAAACCTAGGGATTTGTGTATGCTAGGTAAGCACTCTACCAATTAGGCTATATCCTTAGCCCCTCAACTCTAATACTTAAAAAAAGTATTCTTCTTCCCCTCTGAACTTGTGTTACTAATTGCCATTCATCTTTGTTAATGAAAAAATGTAATGATACATCTAAAGCAGGACCATTAGGGTCACTACAGTGATTAGCAACCAAGGGATGGGATTTTGTACTGAGGGCAAGAATTTGGGCTCAACCCTGAATATTGTGTACTTAAAAGAGTAGAGTTGGGTGGTGGCTATTGGTGGCTCATAATTCAGCATTTTATCAGTAATTTCGTCCTAGAGACTTTTTGGTTTTTCGAGACAGGGTTTCTCTGTGTAGCTTTGCGCCTCTCCTGGAACTCACTTGGTAGCCCAGGCTGGCCTCGAACTCACAGAGATCCGCCTGGCTCTGCCTCCCGAGTACTGGGATTAAAGGCGTGCGCCACCACCGCCCGGCCAAGAGACTTTTAAGAGGTAACATGAGAAGTGGGTTGTAGCTAGAACCTAAGAGGATTCTTTTTTTTTTTTTTTTTTTTTGGTTTTTCGAAACAGGGTTTCTCTGGGTAGCTTTGGTACCTTTCCTGGAACTCACTCTGTAGCCCAGGCGGGCCTCGAACTCACAGAGATCCGCCTGACTCTGCCTCCCAAGTACTGGGATTAAAGGCGTGTGCTACCACAGCCCGGCTCCTAAGTCGATTCTTAATGCAGACAGGCCAGAGTGGTCAGACATCGCCTGGGGATGGTGGAAGATGAGAAGAGCCATCAGTTATCAAGAGTGGAGGGATCTAACTGGATTGTAGAGCGAAGTACACAGGTATGCCTAGAACCTACAATTTGGCTAAGTTAAGATTCTTTGTCACAAGATGCCAAAAATACACGTCAGAGAAAACACGTCTTCTTTAATAAATGGTGTCGGGAAAACTAGATATTCTTCTGTAAAAGAATGAAACTAGATCCTTCTCTCTTATCCTGCACAAAAATTAACTCAAAATGGATCAAAGACCTTAACGTCAGACCTGAAACTCTGAAACAAAAATAGGCAAGGACTTTCTGAATAGGGAGGTCCCTTGTTGCTCAGAAAATAATATCAACAACCGACAAATGAATGGGACCGCATGAAGTTAAAAGGCTCTGTATAGCAAAGAAAACAGTTAATCGAATGAAGCATACAGAATGAGAGAAAATCTTTGCCAGCTACACACCTGAGAGAGGATATCTAGAATACACAAATAAAAAGTCTGAACACGGAAATCAAACAACCCAAGCAATAAATGAGCGTGTCCTTCACCACCCTGCCTTCTTTCCGTTCCAATTTTTGGCCGTGGTAAGGAGTGACTGTATTCTTACGGAGCAGAGAAACCCAACCAATCAGAGGAATCAGAAAGACCTTGACCTATTCTAATTATCCCACTTACAAGCTGCGTGATAACGAACCTATCACCTCCCTTCCCTTGGCCTTAATTGGAACACTTCAAAAGTGGAGCAGCCGCTATTAGCTTCAGGAGTGTTTTCCCGTGCACTGCCCGGCACGCTGGGGAGCATTTGCCGCGCGACTCCGAGGCCCGCCCGTGGCCTTATTTCTGCACGTTCTGGACTTCTGCTGACCGGCCTGCAACCCCTCGCCCCTCGCCTTCGGTTCCCGCCCGGCCGAGACCGCAGAAAACAAAGCCTAGGCTCACCGAGCCTCTCCTTACAGACCTCGCGTGGAACGCCCCCTTCCGACGGCGCCATTTCCCATCGCTGGCCCTGGTGACGTCACTTCCTCCGGAAGAGGTGTTGCGTCCGCCCGGTTGGCGCGAAAGTCGGTTCCCGGCTTTGGCGCTTCCGGGTTCTGCTGCGTTAGCTTGGTGCTGGGGGCGCCGCCGGGGGCGGGGGCTGCGCGCCGGGCTGGCGCCCGACCCCAGCCGCCGTCCTGCTGGCCGCGCGCCCCCCGACTTGGTGCCCGTGGGCCCTCAGGCTCCCCCGAGGTAAGCGAGCGCCCGCTCCTCCCGGCCGGCTGGGCGCCCGGCGTCTCTTGTGGCCTTCGCGGCCCTAGTAACCGGCGGGTGGGCCTCAGACACCCGGGAAGCCGCGGCCTGGACGTTCCACGAGCCCGCCCTTTCCCTGGGAGCTGGGGACAGTCGCGTGGGCCCTTCGGGCGAGCGTGCATGATCTTCCACGGGGGCTGCTTGCGTTTCAAGTCCGTTGACTTAGGAGCAAACCTTGCGGGCCGTGGGTACCAGCAGCCGCCGCCGCCCTCTCCGTCGTCTCTAAGTCCAGTGCAAGTTAATGTCATTTCACTGAGGGGCCCACACCAAGGGCCTCACTATATTCAGTCAGGGACGTTAATCTTGTTAGCTGATTTGCAAAGATTCGTGTTGCTCCTCCTCAGCCTTGGACTTTGCCCACATCCTGGGGTCTTTTGCAAACATCTTGAATGAATTCATGGGCAAAGCCAGATGTCTATTTCTTAGGCACTTTTGCATGCAGAAGAAAATAGTTGATTTGCAGGCCTGGCTGTGGTGGTCCACGCCTTTAATCGTATCTCTAAGAGGCAGAGGCAGGGGAATCTCTGAGTTCGAGGCCATCCTCTCTGTAGATAGTCAGAGCCACATAGAGAAACCCTGTCTCAAAAAAAATTTGATTTGATTTGAGCATTTAATTTCCTACATAATTTATTTTTGTTCTTATTGACTGCCTTATTCTCACAGTTCAGCAATGTCCAGAAATGACCAAGAACCGTTTTTTGTGAAGTTTTTAAAGTCTTCAGAAAATTCAGAATGTTTTTTTAAAGCTCTTGAGGTAAGAATAATTGGATATGTCTTATTTGATGATGTGAGCTCATTTTTCATGTTTTAAAAGTTTTTCATTTGTTGGATTTTATATCTTAGAAGTTGATATTTTAATGAAATTTTGCTACAGCATGTGCTTAATACAGATATATCATTGTTGCTTAATTTTTAGCTGATGTAAGCATACCAGTATGTATTTGGGGGAGGGATTGAAATCTATTATGACAATTGAATGTTGACCTGCAGTTCTGTGTGTGTGTGTGTGTGTGTGTGTGTGTGTGTGTGTGTGTGTGTATGTATGTGTGTGTGTATCTGCATTTATGTCTCGTCAAGGTTAGGTTGTAGTGTACAGAATCAGAGGTGGGGAAGAGTGTTATGGAATGCTAAAGAAGTCATGTAGGTCCTTAGGTGGTGGTGTGAAGCCTGACTTTCAGTGAAGGGGATTTTATCTCCGTGCATCATATAAATAATGGTGCATAGAATTCAAAAACAAGAACAAAAGACCTGCTTCTCTTAAGGCTATGCACTAGGGTCAGTCCCCTCTTGTGTGAATTGGGATGTGGAAGAA